CGTGGTGGTATCAATCTGTCATCCCACCGGAAAAACCATTTTTCTTGAGAGCAAGAGTGAGCTTTGCATTGAGATTTTGGTTGGGTGGGTTTTTGTAAATAGTTAAAATGCTGAATCGTGTGTGTGTGTAAAATACAATACACAATAATGCTGGCAAGAAGGCAAGCATTGTAGGACAAACAAACATAAAACACAGTATTAGTTGCGGTATCAATCTGTCATCCCACCGGAAAAACCATTTTTCTTGAGAGCAAGAGTGAGCTTTGCATTGAGATTTTGGTTGGGTGGGTTTTTGTAAATAGTTAAAATGCTGAATCGTGTGTGTGTGTAAAATACAATACACAATAATGCTGGCAAGAAGGCAAGCATTGTAGGACAAACAAACATAAAACACAGTATTAGTTGCGATAGTTGATTCGTTTTTTTTAGCTAGTACAACCATTTTTTAAACATTTTTTGAAAAAGAACATTTCTTGTGGGGTGGCAGATTATTGCTTAAAATAACTTATTTATAGATAGATATTCCTTATTTTTTTGTTTGGCTTGCAATTTCTTTTAGGTTTACTTATAGTTTGGTTTTGTAGACAGGCTAGGTTTCAATGGCTTTTGCTTTTAAAGGGTTTAGGCTGAGTTACTGTATTGTTTAATAACTTAAAGAGGTGGTGTATTTTAGGGGTTTTATACATAATAACAGATTACGTGTGTTACATTTTTTGCTGTATAAAATTTTAAAATTATTCATTAATAATTGCTAAGAAGCTTTATTTCTGTAATGCTGTAGTTTTTAGCATGAGGTGTGTTTTTTAATATTTTAGCATGTTTAAAGGGTTTTCCTAAAATAAATGCATGTATGTTACAGGGTTATAGTTGAACATTACATTTTTTGTACTATTAAATATCAGTATTTACATTAACATTTTTTATAAACGGGTGTTACAGTATTTTGTTATATTATCCTTTTTATTTAGCTAATATACCATTGCGGCTAATGTGCGTTTAATATTTTGTAAAAATGTTTCAAAAGATTTTAACTATATATTTAGGATTTGGATGAATTGTAAGGTAGAAATATTATGCATATAAGCAGCTTTGTTGTATTTGTTTTTAGTATTTCTTTA